GCCGTAAATGCGCGAGCAATGCAGTGCGCGGCCCAGCGAGACAGAGAGATTGCTGTGCCCAACCAGTTTGGACCGGGTCTGTGCTTTGGTCGCAGGGGCCAGCCGGGGCGCATCATCACCAGCAACAGGACCCAGGTATGAGCCCACGTGGAGAGGCGATCGCGATCTGGATGCCGGCGCAACGCGGTACACCAGCACGAAGGGCATCGCGAACCTGAGCAGCGGCTTGGCCAGGGTACGCGCAGCGCAAAGAAACCAGCTTGAATTTGTCCAAGCGCAAAGCAAGAGAAACCGCAGCTCCCGCAGTCGACCGCGCAGCCGGCGTCGTCCGCGCAAGCCCTCGCAATCCTCTTGCAGAGCGATTCGAGCCTCGCTCGAAATCGGCCAAGAAAAAAGAGGTGGCGCCCGCAGAGATTGATCCGCGAAAAAACAAAAACCCTGGACGATGCCTGAAATGACCCACCAAGCGTGCGTCGGAAGATTCTGCACCAGCGCAATCGCCTTCAATCCCAAGCACAGCTAGTCGATCGCCGAGAAGAAGGCACCGGGGACCCCCTATGGCCGCAAAGACGCGGCACATGAAATCCCGCGCGAGGCTCGGAAAGGCGGCGCCAAAATCCAGAACCACTCAGGCCGGGGATCTGCGCCCGCGGGGCGCTAGAACAGGGCCCACTCGCTGTCCAACTCACGTTGAAGCCGAAGTTCCTCTCGGGGGCGAACCCCCTGCGGGGCAGCCCATTAGCCACGCGATGAAACGAGCGTTGGCGGCGGCCGCGATAATCTCGAAGTCTGCGTTCATCGGGCCGTTGACCCTGGCCACCGACGGCGCGCGGGCGAAATCGAGCGAAGCCGAGGCGACAGGCTCGTCGCCCGTCAAAGGCCACATTTGCAGCGCGTTGTCGGGGCCCATGAAGAGCGCCAGACACGAGAAGATCGAAATCATGGCGCCGGACGGGGGGCTGGGCCCAGTGGGCGGCGAAGCCGCCGCGCGGCGCGCTTGGGCAGCGCGGGGAGGGATGGTCGAGCTTGGCGCGGTGGAACCTCGAGACGTGGCCCGAGATGCCCTGGGCGGCCAATGCGCGGCGGACCGGCTTCGGCTTGAAAACGGACTCCGGATGCTCCGAGCGCCCGCGCGCGCGCCTGATGCGCGGCAACGTCGCTGGCGTCGGCGGCGGACTTGACCCCTGGGAAGATGAGGCGCCTCGACGGCGGGGGCCAGAAGCGCGGCGCGGCGCTCCGGCGCGCGGAGCTCGCGACGTATAGTTGCTGATGGGCGGGCCGCGAGATCAGCCTCCAGTGGCTGGTGGCGCCGGCCAACTTGCCGACGACGAATGGACCCGCTCCGCTGCTGGAAGGACGGGACATGAGCCGGACGCACCGAACCATTAGAGATCGAAAAGAAATCCGCCGCCACCGGGCGGGCAGGCCGAAGCCGGGGTGAAAGGGCCACGTCGTGGCGCCGAGCAGCGCGCGCCATCTGCCAGGCGACCTATGTCTGCGAGCCAAGAGCTCAAGGGGCAGCGTCAAGCATTCGGGCCCGAACCTCGCGCGCTACTTCGCGGACAGCCCAATTGGACAAGACTTCTTGGTGAGGAGGCAACCTGTCAGCAAAGTGCAACCTGGGTGGCGACTAAGTGAAGACGCGAGTTGACTGCATCTGACTAAAAGATGTAGCGCGAGATCTTCTGGTGCTCGATGGGCTCCGCCTGCTCTGCGCGAAGGTGCACGCGTGCGCCGCGCGATCGCTGGCCTTCCGCATCGACAGTCCTTCAGGAAAGGCCAGCAGCAATGGCCAGGCGCACCGCCCATCCAAGAAGCCTGATCCAAAACCTGTCGATGATCGAGACCGAGCGTGCGCGGGCATCGAAGTGCGCAGGCTCGTCAGACGAGACCTCCGCGGCAGGCGTAAGCGCGCGCTGCCGTCACGCAGCATGCGCATGCTGGCCTTTGCCAGCGGCCACGCGCCGCCCTGGCGGGCGCGGCAGCAGCGGGGGGGGAGGCGCGAAGTTGAAGTCACCGCGCGCGCCGACGGTGACCTCAGCGGCGTCGCCCAGGGCCGCCTCGGCGTCCGAGAGTATGGCGGCGCTCAATGTGCCTCATCTGGTCAGGAAGAACAGCATGAATGCGTGCTACGCAGCGAACATAACAACGGCCGCGTTGGTCGAGCTCCAGGCGAAAGGCACGGCCAACATCGATCACAGAGGACCGGGCACCAGCAGGGCTGCCAGCCGAAAAAATAATTGCCACGCATCCCTTCATCCAGGAGTCCTCGCAAAGGGTGGAGAAAACGCGGAGGCCAGAGGAGATATACCCAATAAAGTCTTGCAGCTGGATGGCGTCTTGATGCGGCTCCTGCAATCAGCCGGCCCCGTTCGAGAAGTTCAGACGCTCGGGGTACCTCAGCATGCCCGTGGCGTTCGCGGCGTGGTACTGGAGGGATACCCTTGCATTCCATGACGAGAAGGAGGCTAGCATGGGACCAGCGCGTTCACCACGAAGAAACTGACACGGAGGCCTGAAAGCCCAACTCTGCCACGTCATGGGTGGGGGTGGCAGCGATGGAATTTGCTGGGGCCACGAAATCCTTCTGCGGAAGGTTGAGCTCCGCAGCGATCAGCCCAGTGGAGCGAAGGCGGTATATTCCCAAAACTCGGTTAGATCCTGAGGATCGGACCCCATCATGCCATAACGCAGCTACGGTCCTCGCCTAAACACCGCGACTCTCTTCGGGTCTGCATCTCCATTCTGATTGGGGGACGACTCTTTTTGTCGGGGCCCAGGATGGCCTAAGTGAATCGACCATCGGTAGCCGTGAGCTTGAATCGCATCCATTGGTCTAGTCCCAGGCGCTGCGAAGATAAAACATTCGAAACGCGGCGGGCTTAAGGCGCCATCGCGCCGCACTGTGAATAGGGACGGTATCGGGAGAGCCATGACCAGCAGCGTCGGGAGCCGGCAATGGAGGAGCCTCAGCTCCACCTGGTCCAAGGACGCCACGGTCGGAGGAGCCAGAGCTGTCTCTAGCACCAGGATGTAGTACATCATCATCGACACGACGGGCGTTTCTCGTGCGGCGCTGCGCGGCCTTGGATCCAGGAGCGAGGCCAGCGCGTTTGGAGACCAAATCGGGCATGACGATGGGCGAAGCAGGAACGGGAAATGCCCCCGTTTATCCACAATTCACATCGTTGGCGGTCCCGCGGGCTCGCAGCGGCATGGCAGCTCACTGCGAGGATTGTGAGGTGGCAGGTCCTTGGGCTTCTGGCCCTGGACTGGTGGTGCCCACCTGTTCCCTTGTGGAACACATAGTCTTGAGCCGCCATGCCGTAGAAGACGCTGGGCGCTGGAGACTTGTGGGACACACATGTTCCCTTGTGGAACACAAATGGGTACGGAGAAGACGCTGGGCGCTGTCTCTTCCAACGAGGACCCAACACCACAGCATGGTTGGGAATGCTCTAGATTACGAAGCATTGCACGCATGTGTTGGAGATCCGACGGGAAGTTAAACAAAAAATGAATTAAGTCTACAATCGATCTTCCACTCGAATTATAGGAAGCGAAACAAGATAACGCTGCGGACCTGGCCCTCCCAAGTCGCCGGTTTTTTCCGTTTGGACGCCTGACTTGTCCGGGATAAGTGCTGTCCGGGGTAACTCTGGTTTGGGCCCCCGAGGCACGAATCTGTAGTTACCGCTGAGTGCACCCAGCAATGATGATTCGGGAGCCGGGATGACTGCGCTCTGGGGCACCTCTGGTCCCTGGCCGCCCCCACGCCCTGATGTCTCGGGGCTCTGACCCGTTGCTCTGGCGGAGCGAGCGCCAGCGCCAGAGAGAACGCCAGAGGGGGCCTCTCCCTGCACGGAGGCACAAGCCTCCGGCGGGGTCGGCCGCCCCCTGGTGAGGATCGGGCACCTGGAGTCAGGTCGGGCATGTCCCCCTACAGCCAGATTCTGGACGAAACTTCAAAATGGTCAAAAGTAGTTATAAAAAAGTCGTCCCTCGACTATGTTTGACTATGTTTGGATATTCCCCCTGTAGAGGGACGTCCCAACTTAAACACCTGGAGACAGGGGTCCATGCAGACGGGAGGTCAGCCAGAGCGCCGGATCTTGGGCGCAGGATCTTGCAAGATCCTGCTAGATGCTGCACAGCCTCGCTGACCGGGAGCTGCTCGGACCGGATCAGTAGATCCCTAGAGGGGCAGCAAGGCACAGCACCGGGGAGACGAAAGCCTCGACCTTTGCTGGGTCGGACGACGTGGAGGCCTCCCAGAATGGGTCGGAGAGAATGGGGTCGGAGGATTGCGCCGCATCGCCGATGCATTACCGAAGCATCGGCGATGCGGTTCGATGTGAAGCCAGATTTTCTCCACGCCGGCGTCGCCGACACATCCCCTACGTCGACGATGCGTCGCCGATGTATCGCCTGTGCATCGTCGATACATCGGCAATGCGGTGCAATCCTCCGACCCCATCTACTCGGACCCAAGCTAGGAGACTTGAATGGTTGCCTCCAAAATCGGCGACGAAAAGAAACTGGTCTAACGCACGATGACATAACGGCCTCCCACCGCTGCTCACGCGGGCCGCCAGCGCGGCACGCTACACTGGAAACGAAAAGCGCTTATGCGCGACCTTACGCGGGGAACTTACGCACAAATATCGTCTTCCCTACGCTGGCGACGCATCGACGTCGTCGGCGTGGAGAAGACCGGGCTTCACATCGAGCCGTATCGCCGATGCACTGGCGAAGCGGCGCGATCCTCCGATACCATCTATCCGACGCAACAGCCTTCCGAGGTCCGTGCGGATTTGTTGGATCGGCGCTGGACCCCCTCCATGACGCGCTCCGCGCGCCAGCGGCGGCGCCGAAGGCACCGCCAGGTGGTCCTCAGCGACGAAGGAAATGATGCGAGCGGAGCTTCGAACATTGATGTTTGTGAAATTGTTGTTTCTTCCTCGAGCGCCGGCATCGACATCCGCGCCATCCGGGGCTGATCACTTGTGCGCCTGCGCCTTGCAAGGCTCCCCGCACTTCTGGCTCTCGGTGTCCGGCCCTATGCACGGCTTGCCGCCACCTTGAGCGGCGCAAGGCAAGGGATCTTGGGCGAAAGTTCATGGCGGCCTTAGACCATGGCTTACGCAAACCGCCAGCGCGGCATCACGGGGGGCATGACGACCCCAGTCGCCGATGTTGTGGGAGTCTTGGGACTGGGCCACAGTTTGTGGGCAGAGCTCGGGGACTGACAGTGGGGGGGCGTCCCATGCTCGCTACTAGGGGGCAAATAAACCTACCTCGCTTTTGACCACCCTCGCTCCCAGGAGATGCCAAGCGATGCCAAACTGCGGTCAGGCCGCTTGACGAGGAGGCGCGTGGTATGACTTGGTCTCGCCTGGAAGCGAGAGCGGGGCAGGTCATTCACGCTCGGAAGTAAAGGGGTGCGTCAGGATGGCCCCGTCTTTCCTGCGCAGCCGCCGTCCATGCCGGAAACCCAGGAGCCACGGCCGAGGAATGGCCTGCGGCGGCACGCCGCGGAGAACTCAGCCGGGCGTTTGCGCGCGCCATGGCGCGGGCAGCTCACGCGCGCATGTTTTGAGCACGGGGTCGACCGTCCTGGTGCTTGTTTAGACCTACCACGAAATGCTGTGAGCACCAACAAAAATGCTCGAATGATGAAAGCATTCATCTTGGACCAGGCGATGTTCTAAGAACATGTTGCACGAACCGCAGAGGGTTACTGTGTCAGTCTCAGAACACTGCTTGGTGGACCTGTGGCTATAGGCAGACCAGGACTCGTCGAGACTACTCGAGTGTCGCCGCGATATTGGCCCCATCCTTTACGCCGCGCCTTCCGCTGACTTCTGGCCCCGGGTCCGGCGCTTCGACCCGTCGCCGCAGGACTTCGAGCAGCCGCCCCAGGCCCCCCACTCCTCCCAGACGCAGTCGACGGGGCACAGGTTGGAGGAGCAATCGCCCTGCTCGCTGGCGTTTCCAGAACAGTCCTCGCCGCCGAACTGCGCGTCTTGCAGCTTTACTCTCGCGCGCACTCGCAGGCCACCTCCATCAGGAGGCAAACGCCTGGGAGGCCTTCGTCAGAACGGTTAAGGGCCATAACGCCTGAACAAATTCTGCCACTCAGCTGGAATAGGCCGGATAGCCCGAATTTCAAAAACAACCCAACGGGATGATGCCCGATTGAGCCAGATGTGGCCGGCTCTCGACCACGATATGTCAGCGAGGATGCCGCATCTAACCTCCCAGGAATTGCATCCGAACCTCCACACGTCTTGGTGCACGTGGACCAAGCGGCCCAGCCGTCCCACTTGCAGTTCACCGCGCACGGGTCCGTGTTGCAGAAGTCGGTCTCCAACGCCTCGCCCTCGCAAGGCTTGCCCGTGCCCACCTGCTGCACCGCGATCGCCCGGCCGCGCTGGGTAGTGCCGTTGCCGCAGGTCACCGTGCAGTCTGACCACGCAGCCCACTCTTCCCAGGCGCAGTCCACAGGGCAAGGCTGGGCGTTGCAGGCGTCCTGCTCCTGAAGGATCACAAAAGGGTTCAAAGATAAACTTTCGGAATTCCGCGCCAGACATGATGGTCTAGCTCCGATGTAAGAGATCCGCGCGCACTCTGAAACATTATGTCATGTAACGTGTTGTTTCTCGAGCTCCTGAGCATCGCCCGTGCACTCCCTGCCACTGTTCTCGGCCTTGACCTTCACGTCACGGGCCCGCTCCTTGGAGCCGCCACCGCAATCCTTCGAGCAATTGGACCAGAGGCTCCATTCCGTCCACTCGCAGTCAACGGGGCATGGGGTCAGGCCGCAGTCTCTCGTCTCTTTGCTGGAGCCGATGCACTGCTTGCCTCCGAAAGCAGCCTCCGTCCTCTCGGGCCGCGTCCTGCTCTGCTTGCCCCCGCCGCAGGTGGCGTCGCACGAGGACCAGGCAGACCAGTTCCCCCAGATGCAGTCGACGGGACACGGGTGCTTGTTGCAGTCCTGGAAGTCGATGACGGGGCCAGGGCAATTGGCGTCCCTCCGCCGCACCTGCCTGCCCCCTCCGCAGATCTCGGAGCACGCCTGCCACGGGCCCCAGCCGCACACGTCCGTGGCGGTCGCAGCAGCGGTCACGACGGGCGCAGGCGCAACCGCCGGCGCCGCTGCAGCTGGCGGCGGCGCTGGGGCCGGAGGCGCCAGAGCTGGCGCCAGGACCTGGGGAACCCAGAACACACCGAGCATGGCTGCTCCGCGGATCCGTCCTGGGGCGCGTTTCGCCGAGAATCTCGAGGCAAATCCCGCGGCGGCGACGGGGGCCTGCCAGGATGCGAGGCAAAGACATCGGTGAGAGTACCTTTCGTGAGCGGCAGCACGCGATCAAACCCAAAGGGAGGAGGAATGGGGAAGGGCACAGAAACAAGTGGCACGCGTGTCATAGCTCTTGCACAGAAGGGAGGGGAAATAAGGGAATGTCATGGAATGGGGTAGGGCGGACCAGGTCCACCTGCCGACACAGCGGCGGCACGTAGGCTCAGTCGTCTACGAGTGGCCACGACACCGTGGCCTTGGCCTCACGCTTAGCGCGCCTAGCTAAGGATAGGACTCGGCCTTGCGCGTGTGCTGTGGATGACGCAGCTATACACGTGGTGCGCCGCTCGTGTACACTGCGCCTAGCTAAAGAGGAGGAGGAGGAGGAGGAGGAGGAGGAGGAGGAGGAGGAGGAGGGAATGGGAAGGGCACGGACATAAAGGCGTTACAGACACGGGTGCGGGCTGTCGGACCCCTAGAGAGACTGCCGATCGAGCGGGGGCTCCCGTTCGACAACAAACACACACACACACACCCATAGCCCTAGGTCGGGCATGTCTTCTTACAGAGGGTTTTGGACGAACAATGAAAGATAGTCCACACATGCTCAAACAATTCAGGAATCACAAGAAATCGGTCCCACACTATTGTTTAACCATTTTTAATATTCCTCCTGGAGAAGGACAGGCCCGACTTAACCATAGCCCCCCACGGAATTCAACCTGGAGACATCTAGGGACCGCCTAGGTATGGGTGCTAGCTGTCAGCTCAAGAGTCTTTTCGGCAGCACGCAAAATTGATCCTGGGCAAGAGTGACCTTCGGTGCGCGGCTTTGGGCGCGGGAGCGGGGGTCAAGCCCCAGCGCCCAAGTCGCTGCCATTGCACCGCATCCGACGATCAGGGGGGCTCCGGTGGGCCCGCACCGAAGGTCACCCTGGCGATAGGGTCACTCCCCAAATCCCGATGTCATGACTTCTTCGTGGCGTCGACCCCCAGAGGTCTCGACCCATTCCCAGGGACCGGTTCCTCATCCTGAGTTGTTTTTTCACGGCCCCGCGGCACTTTTAGGGCCCACAGGGGCCGAAAGTAGCGAAGAACCTCCCGTCGTGATTGGTCCATGACTCGAGGGGGTACGGGTCTCACGGCTAGCCGATCGGGGTAGGCGGCGCGCACACTGGGGTGGGAGGAGAGGGGAAGGCTTCTTAGAAGGAGGCTGCTTCTTAGAAGTCGCGGGCCTCACATCTAAGGAGCAGGGCGCTTCTGAGAAGCCTTCCCCCCTCCCTCCACCCCCCCCTCTGCCCGTGGCTGCGGGTAGCCGATATCGGGTATCTTCTGACCGGGGTCAATCCAGACCCTGGTCAGTCGGGCCTTGCAGGATCCTGCAAAATCTCCTGCAGGGATCCTGCAGGATTTTGTACCCAAGACCGGGTCAGTGCGCCCCTAGCTCTGCAGGATCCTGCAAGCTCCGACGACCTGCCCGACCCCCGTTTGCACTGACCCCCGTCTCTTGAGCCCCGACGATCTCCTCTCCCCTGAGGACCGGCGGAGGCGGCGGCGAGGGCGCCAGCGGCCCCGCTACGGCCACCGGCGGCAGCGGCGCGGGGGCCGCGGGCGCGGGCGCCGCGGGCGGCGGCAGCGGCGCCGGTGCCAGCGCGGGGGCCGCGGGCAGCGCCGCCGCGGCAGGGGCGGCCGCGCCCGAGGCGGGCGGCAGGGGCGGCGGTGCCGGCGCAGGCGGCGGCAGTGGCGGCGGCGCTGGCGGAGGCGCCGCAGCCAGCGGCGGTGGTGCCGGGAGCGGTGGCGGCGCAGGGGGCGCAGGCGGCGGCGGCGCTGGAGCCTGGCATACAGCGGTGCGGCGAGGAGCGCCACTTCTGGAAAACATGAACTCAAGGGGCCCAAGGACACACACACACACATATATATATATATATATATATATATATATGGGTTTTTGTCTTCCCCCCCCCCCCCACTTCCAATAAAAGTATATACTTTCCAATATTTTCCAGGGAATCGGCGATTAATTGTGTCTGTGTGTTTTTACCTTCCTGATCAATGTCGGTCTCCCTGCTTGGCGCCGTGCGCACGTCTGGGGATGATGGAGCAGGGCCAAAGTGTGCCGGCGCTCCCGGGGTATCCCACTTCGAGTCCGAGGGTGGGGATCGCTCTGTAAGCCGCAAGATTGATGTGGCTTTGCCATCGCTGGCCCTCCCTCCCTCGAGAGACCGCAATCCGAGAATCCCCGCCTCCCCCAGCTTTGCACCCTGGCGCCCTTGTTGCATGCCTCCAGAAGGCTCCAATTCATATAAAGGACCGCACCAACACGGCGGAAGGACGCTTCGAGGACGTCCAGCAACGGCCCACCGAGCCTCCAAGATCTACCGAAGACCTCCCCAAGTCAGGGATAACAGTTGTCACGCTGATAAGATATGAAATGGACACGCTTCTGGGCCCTTCTCAGAAGGCCCCTGCCTTCTGACTAGGAACTAAGAAACCCGCCTTCTGCAAACGCCTCCCCCCTCGCGCCATCGCCGGTGTTGAGTCTCAGATCGCCCCACAAAAACCTCAGAGAACCCCGAGACGAGCCCAATACTGCACAACACGGGCCCAAAGGCAAATGCTGCCCCAACAAAACCAAAATACGGCCCGAGCGAGCCCCAAGGCAACCCCAAGCTCCAAGTCCTCTAGATAGTTCAACCGGCCCCCCTCGAGGCTCCCAGTAGGGCCCCCCTTGAGGCTCCCCTTTGAGGCTCCCAGTAGGGCCCCAAAGCCCCCAAGAAACCTCAAAGATGCCTTCGAGATGGGTTGAGGCGCCACTCCTGGGCGAACAACAGAATGTAGGGCGGGAGCGCTAGCGAGCAACCTCACCAGCCCTGAGAAATAGATGAGGACGTCTCGAGCGGGATTGTGGAGCCCGGGGAGGGGGCGGTTTGCAACGCCGAGGCGCGAGCGCCTCTCCTGTTTACGAACGGAAGCAATAGGAAAGCGGGGGGTGCTGGTTTTGTTTGATGGCTGCCTTTCGGACGCGAGCTAGTAGAGCAAGCACCAATCATGAACAGCAAAACGGACAGTCTCGAGCGGAAGCGCTGTTTAACTCTCACTTCGAAACAAGAATCATTGACGATCCCTCCTCCTGGTGCCCACGGTGTTTTTTCAATTCGAGTGCTCCTCCCTGGGCTCCCGCCCTTGTCTTTGCTTTAGAAGGGAAAGTCTTGAGGTTCAGATTGTGCTGTCGGCCGCCGGTTTACAACAACAACGGCTCCCGCCGAACACTTCCTCACAGTTTATTGCAGAATCGCACTCTCGCAGACGATTTCCTCACGATGTGTGCAGGAATCGCGCCCTCGCGTGGGATTTCCTCACAATGTATTCAGGCGCCGCGTCCTCGACACTCAGGAATCACGCTCTCGCTCTGGCCTCTTTTCAAATTTACTTAGGAATCGCGCTATCGCTCGAGACTCCGTCGCAATTCATGCAGGACTCACTCTTCAGCAACGCGCCTGCTCGTCCTGGCAGACTGGGTGCGCTTATCCGGCCCGCCCTTCAGGGTCCACCCGCCCGATCTGCCGGTCTGGTTCTGCCACGTGGCTTCTGCTCCAAATTCCCCACCTGTTAATCTCCCTCGTGCTGCAACCTTCTACCTACCCAATTCGTACTCTCCTCCCCTGCTATAATGGCTGCACAAAGAAAAATGTGGTGTGTAAGGAAGATATGCCCCCAATGGGGGGACACAAACGAAGACGAAAATAATGGGTATCGAGTATTTGAGATGCACGTGTTAAAAGGCACGTGTGCAGATAATAACCAACAGTCATGAAACTGAATGATGTTGTTGTTGTTTTTGATGATTGTTGTTGGTGTTGATGTTGTCGTCGGCGTGGTTGTTGTCGCTATTGTTGTCGAAATCCCATTTTCATCGTAGTTCAGGTTGATCCCCCCTCCGGGGCACATAATGTTTTTCAATGAAAGTGCCTCTCCGTTGGCTCGCACCCTGTGTTTTTTTTAAGGAAACCAAGGGGTCACCAAACTAAGCCTCTGGCCTCGGAGTTACAACAACAACGGCTCCCGCCTCATACTTCCTCATCATTAATTTCAAAATCGCACTCTCGCACGGGACTACCTCACAAATTATACAGGGACCACGCTCTCGCGTGGGACTTCCTCGCAGTTGGTCCACACGCCGCGCCCTCGACACTACCCCCGCCCCCCCCGTCCCACGACCTCCACCCTCGCCCCCTTCCCTTCCCCTCCTCTCCCCACCCTCCGTCCTCCCCTTCCCCCTCCTACTCTTAGGTCGGGCATGTCCTCCTACAGGCGGGTTTTGGATGAGAAATATAGATAGCCAAAACACATTTCAAAATGGGCAACCAGAATGTCTCAAAAACGTCCCAAAACTGTTTGTTGTGACTTTTTGCAATACTCCTCCTCTAGAGGGGCGTGCACGACTTAATCCTACTCCCGCTGACCTCCCCACCTGGGGCCCGCCCCGACCCGACCCCCGACGCGGCCGCCCGTGCCGAGGCGGGCGCGACCCCGTAGCGCGGCACGCCCGGCGCGGCGCTCCCGCACCGAGGTCCGCCTGGCCCAATCCGGGCGCATGATGGGCGCATTTTCCTCCACTTCTACCATTTGTAGGACGGGGGAGAAAGGAGGATGAGGGAGGATGAGGAGGTCCTCCTCCTCCTCCTGCTCCTCGTCGTTCTCCTCCTCCTCCTGCTCCTCCTCCTCCTCTTCCCTCTCCTACTCATGGTAGCGGTGGTGGAAGATGGGCCCATCAGGCGCACGTTTTGGGGTCCTCGGGAATCTTCTGACCCGGGTCAATCCAGACCCAGTTCACCCAGGCCTTGCAAGATCCTGCAAGATCCTGCACCCAAGCCCAGGTCAATGCGAAGAAACCTGCAAGATCCTGCAGGACCCTGCGTCCGAGCCCGGGTCAGCGCGGCCGTGGCCTTGCAGGATCCTGCAAGATCGGGCGCTCTGGCTGACCTCCGCTTGCATTGACCCCCGTCTCTTAACCCCGAGGTCGCACATGCCCGCTCTCGCCGGCCTGAGCTCGTCCGTCCTCGCAAGGAGAAGGGGTCCCACAACCACGGCACGACTACGGCGACTGCTGCGACAGCTGCTATACTAATACGAATGCTGACAGCGATGATGCTCCTGCGCAGCACGACGGCGACGGTGGCTACTACGCCTGCGCCCGACGACTCGTGGCAGCTAGAACGGTGCACCGTGTTGTAGTAGTACTGAGACTACATCGAACAGCACTGCGGCCAGTGCTACTGCTGCGCCACATCTCCGCGGCGGAGGAGTCATGGGCTGGGGCAGGGGGAGGGGGGGGTGGAGGAGGAGGAGGAGGGGACAGAGGAGGAGGAGGACAGAGAAGGAGGGGGGGAGGAGGAGGAGGAGGAGGAGGAGGAGGAGGAGGAGGAGGAGGAGGAGGAGGAGGAGGAAGAGGAGGAGCAGTCAAGACGCGGCCAAGAGAGCGTGGGTCAAGAGAACGAGCCCCGTAGGCCCAAGGCCCAGGGCTCTCCATGGAGATATACCCCAAGACGGAGGGCACGCCGTGGTGGAGGCTCCACACACACAAAGAACGCGAGGGCACCCCTCCAGAGCTAAGGTTGTTCTTGGCCCGCGCGCCAGCTGTGCACACGTTAAGCGACACGCGAGCAAGTGAGCGCGACCGTCTCTCGCATCATCGTGGTTGTTATTATTGTTGTCCTCGTCCTGTGCCTCTACTGCCTCCTCCCTCCCCGCATCTCGCGAGAGGCCCCATCAGATCCAGAAGTAAATTACCCCGCGCCGCCGCTACCCAGGTTCATTCCAGGTGCAACTGCGGTTGCATGTGCGCGCGCAACCACACACTCATCCTCCATAATCACTCGTCGGTCCTGCCTCACCCTCCCGTTGGGGCCTGGAGGGGGATCGAGAACCATGTGTGGGCGTGAAAATGGCACTGTGATTCGCTCTTGGTCGGGGCAGCCTTCGTCAGGTCCCGCGACAACTTCCTGGATGCCCCAGGAAACCCCAAAAACGGTTCGCGGGACGCCAAAAGTCGTCACAGGAAGTCCAAAAATACCCCCCATTACCCGATTCTACTCAGCAGCAAAATGGATCGTGATACTTTGATTAATGCATGTGAGGTTTTTTACCTAACAGCTTTTGCTGATAGGTTTCTAGTAGGGTCAAAAGAGAGCATCTGGACTCCACAGGGGGGTCTGGGCGGGTGCCGGGGAGGAGGGCCGGGAACAGAGCCGGGCTCGTTTTAAGCCAACAGTCACACACTTCGTGCTCTTCGACCTCCCAGAACTCCATTCCCGGGCCACATTCTGGAGAACCGGGAACAGAGCCGGGCTCGCTTTTCGTCAACAGTCACACACTTCGTGCTCTTCGACCTCCCAGAACTCCATTCCCGGGCCACATTTTGGATGCCCGGAGCCAACTGTAGGCCACTTCGTGCTCTTCGAGTTCCCAGAACTCCATTCCCGGGCCACATTTTGATGCCCGGAGCCAACTGTAGGCCACTTCGTGGTCTTCGAGTTCCCAGAACTCCATTCCAGGGCATGATTTTGAATGCCCGGAGCCAACTGTAGGCCACTTCGTGTTCTTCGAGTTCCCAGAATTCCATTCCCGGGCCACATTTTGAATGCTGAGGCAGGCTGAGGCTGAGGCTGAGGCAGGCTGAGGCTGAGGCAGGCTGAGGCTGAGGCCGAGGCTGAAGGCAGACTGAGGCTGAGGCTGAAGCAGGCTGAGGCTGAGGCTGAGGCAGGCTGAGGCTGAGGCTGAGGCAGGCTGATGCTGAGGCAGGCTGAGGCTGAGGCTGAGGGCTGAGGCTGAGGC